AAGAAACACTACCTGCCAAAAAAGTGAAGTTTTGTTGAAATCGGTTGAAAAATGTAGGAAAACCGATTCCATATATAAACGAACACACACACACACACACAAACAACTGGGTTTTATAATAAGTATAACTCAATATGAGTTGTCCCCCTTTCATTCTTGTGATGCCTCTTAATCGTGTTTTCAAATTGATTTCGTGCAAAAACAATTTGTTTTTCCAATTTTTTGGCGCTGTCAGAACCACCGCAAGGTAATTTTACGTAGTCCTGTGAAGTTTTATTGAAATCGGTTGAAAAATGTAGGAAATCCGATTCAATATATAAACTTACAGACACACACACACAACCTGGGTTTTATAATAAGTATGATATTTAACCACGTCCAATTACTCCATAAGTATATGAGGTCCCAAAAAATTCGACTTTGTACTAATTTTGTGAAATTTGGGATTTAATTTTTTCTACGTGAATTTTTTTTGGATGACATACTTTACAACAATGGCGTCGCTGATAGGATTTTTATTGCAGAGACTTTGTTGAAACGTGGTTACGTTGTTTCGCAGCCTATTCAAGATCAAAGAAACTAAATGACTACAAAGCTGATGGAGGTGAAAATGAAAACACCAAGCTATATTTAACTACAGCAGGGTGCGAAGCAATCCGGAAAATCTAATTAATGACACATCCAAAAGAATTTCCCAACAACTATCTTAATTAAAAATATAAAGCTATCACACTCTTCAATTGTGCGCTAAAACAAATTATGGGTTAAAATTTAATCCCACTTTTTTGTTTGTTTGTTTTTTTTTCTTTTTCTTTTTTTTTTTTTTGTTAACGCAGAAAATAATTAAATATATATAAATAAAAGCAGTAAAGTCATTAAATTATATACTGTCTGTAATTTTCAAGAAGGTAAGTAAACTACTGTAATAGTTTTATAAAGACGAATTTTTCCTTCTCGTCTTTCTTATCTCTGATTTTAATCTTAAAACTTCCACATAAATTTTTTAAATTGAAGCCTGAGAAATTAAAGAAAATATTTTCGTATTATTTCTGTTTTGTTATATAATTAAATATAGAATGTATAAGTCGTAAGAAATGTCAGACAACAACAATAGTTACAACAAACGCTGCATTCCGTCAACGTTTTTAGTAATCTAGATTGTTAACTAACGTTGCAGGGCCTAACTTATATCATTTTTTGAATCGAGGCCTGAAAAATATTTTCTTATTTCTGTTTTATTGTTTTAATTAAACATAAAATTTATTGTCTTGTGAAATGTCAGGCCAGAACAATGGTTACAATAAATGCAGTAACATTTATAGTAACCCAGATTATTAACTAACGTTGCCGGACCTAGATTCCATATATTATTTTTATATTGAGGCCTGAAAAAAGGTTTTCTTCTTATTTCTGTATTATTGTTTTAATTAGCCACAAGTTAACCCAACAATGACGTAACAGCTGTAGAAATTGATTCGTTTATTTAACACCGGAACGTATTTTGAGTTGTAAGCATAATTTTTGCGAGTGAATATTGCATTAACAAAATTTTTTTGAAAAACAATGACTTTCCCATATAAAACTTCTACTATTTAACCGATAGCTAGGGGGGAAATTGAATCATTGATTAAGCAGTTAATTTTTGTTTTTTACAGATTATCAACCCGTCGTGGGATACATAATGACGGGACATATTTTGGATTGCATGAGTCCTTTTTCTTTTCTTTTTTTTTTTTTTTGAATATCGCATTACCAATTTTTTGATAACAGCAATGATTTTTTCTATATATATGCCTTACTATTTAACCCATAGGTGGAAGGAAGATTGAATCATTCATTAATTTGCTTTTACGGCTTATTCACGTTTTTTGGTTATTTGAAGCCGAATCATATTTTGGTGATTTTAAGAATAGTTCTTATTTTTTTTTGCAAGGTAATATTGCATTAACAATTTTTTGGAGATAATGATTTTTCAATATAGAAGTCTTACTATTTAATCCATAGCTGGGGAGATCGATATGCTTGCAAAAAGGTCTTAGGAATGGTAATTTACTAAAATTATTTCCCAGAATGATTTTCTCTATTTTTACGAGCGGACCACTATATTTAAGTAGTCCCATTAGATATGGTACGGGGATAGTCTTTAAACTTAAGGATTTCTCTAGATCAGTGGTTCTCGGTCTTTTTTGTCCAATGCACCATATGTCAGAATGTCATTCCCCGCCCACAAGATTGACCGACTCAAAAAGTGCATTCCAGATAATATGCATATGTCATTAAAAATCTGCATTCTTTCTTTAGTATATACAAGGGGGTGCAAAAGTAGATATACAGTAATTCTATTAAAAATCTATTCTAGAACCATTATTTTAATACTGGCAAAATTATTTAGTGTATACCTAGTTTTGCAGCCCCCTGTAAACACTTACATGGTTGATTTTTATAGAGGAGTTGTTTTTTTGTTTTTTTGTTTTTTTTTCTGATACCCATGATGGACTCCAAATTCTGTAAATAACAAAACAAGAAAAAGTTAAATATACCCCAACACCGAAACCCTAATACCCTCACCCCCTGCAGTGAATTCTGCACCAGCTTGAGGACCCCTGCTCTAGATCTTTGCCCACCTGTTTCCTTCTGAATATCGTTTTTTTTTTTTTTCCTTTTACGGGCCAAAACTCTATTGATATTGTCAACGGGGTCCTTTTCTTATTTGGGTTAATTAAAATCAACTTGTAATATAGAGGTTTTCAATCTTCTACGTGAAATGGAGTGAAGAAGAACGAGTCGTCAAACAATTCGGGAAAGTAATTGTCGTTGGCGTCAAAAAGAGAAAAAAAAAACTCATTTGATACCTTTTCCGTGTTACTGCCTTTCCTTATTTTATTTCCTTCCTTAGGTTTCAGGGGTAGGGAGAAATCGCAAATAGGTTTTATTAAGACCAAACAAAAAAAAAAAAAAAAGAAAAAAAGTACCCAGAAATAAGTTTTAGTTTTGTCCTCTTATATTGAAACACTTATTATTTTTTCTTCTCTTCTTCTTATTAAATCGAGAGTGATGCAATTTTTTTATTTCTGTCATCCGTAAAGAGAGGCCAAAACAGGAAGAGTTAATCTCTTTGTCGTAATTTGATATGTCGGCAAGTTACAAAAATCCATTATCCTTAATACGAACTGTTTGAGTCAATCACTATTCATGTGTGGCCTTGTACCAAACTTGACTTACTCACCTCAGACAGCATTAGCATACAAGGCTGAAGAGCCACTCAAGCTAGAGGGTTACTGAAATGAAGATTGTAAGGATAAGGAGAATATATAACGATTGAGCCTTGCTTTGATATGTCGGCAAGTTACAAAAATCCAATATCCTTAATATGAACAGGTTGAGTCAAATACTACTCTTGTGTGGCCTTGCGCCAAACTTGACTTACTCACCTCAGATATCTTTAGGATTAAAGAAAAAACTTCACCCAATACACGGCCTAAGAGTCACTCAAGTTAGAGGGTTACTGAATCAGGAGCGTGATGTGAATGCAAGAAAAAATAGAAGGAATTGAAGATTGTGAGGAGGAGGAGAAGGATAGACAACGATTGACCCTTGACCTGGAGAGGTTAAGATTGTAATTTTCAGGGACGCATTCATTATTTTTGGGAATAAAAAATCTGAATGTAAATAGTGTACATAATACCTCATCTCAGAAATATAGAGAGAAAGATGAGGACAATAGTCCGAATGATGTAAATAGTATACATAATACCTCATCTCAGAAATATAGACAGATACATGATGTTGACGTTCTACAATACTTCGAATAAAAGGTTAGAAAGGAAATTCCCCAAAAGTACTGTAAACAAAGATAATATTTACTCGACTTAAGAAACCTATTTTCCTGAAAAATTGTTTTAAATGAAAGATTTTATGTATTCCAAGTAGAAGCAGTACTGGATGCCCGGTCAATGAATGCCAAATGTTTCCTTGTAGGCAATAACGACATCCCACATTTCCAGGAACCGGTTCTATAGAGCCAAATAATCTTTAAGAACCTATTCTGCGTTTCTTTTTTTTTTTTTTTGCTTTTTTTCTTAAGCATTTCAACCTGAGGAAGGCGGCAGCGCCACTATCACGCAAGGGATTACAGAGAGTGGGAACAAGAGTAAAGAGACGTGATTGAGGAAAGGATAGAGAGATGGACGAAGAATTAGATCAAAGCATCAGAAGATGTCGATTGACATTATATTTGAATATTTGAAGACGATAACTGTCAGGGAAGCAAATAAGAGGAAGGGAGTTCCACAGTCGGGAAGTGCGAGACAGGAAGCTATTGGAGTAGAAGAGACGGCTACATCTGACCGTTTCGATAGTGAAAGAGTGGGACTGAAATGCCAACCTAGTAGCACGCTTAAATTCATGCAGTCTGGGAACTAGCGAAAGTAGCTCGTTGGAGCAGTTACCGTGAAAGTATTTGTAGAAAAGACAGAGGGAGGCGACGGCACGTCTGTGAGAGACCGACTGTAGACGTTTATTTCCATTTCAATCTGTGAATGGAAACAAATCACTTTATAATATGAGAAAGAATTAAACTATTTTGATAATTTACTAGAAAACATTTATTTATTGAGATATTTCCAGAATGAAATTCTGTTCTCAGCATTATTCTGTTCAGAAGTACATGGTGTTCCAAAAGTCACGCAACACTTATCAGAAAACGTACACTTGTGAAATAGCAACCAAGGTAAATTTGCATGACATCATCTTCCATAATTCGATCAATATAATTTCTTAATAATATATTGTCACATACAGAAATATGATTCCAAACAGTAAATAAATATAAAATTGACTAGGCAATCAGTTGTAATGTGGCTTTTAGAACACCTTGTAGATGTTGCTCATCTTGATAACCAAGATGGTGTCTGTTTTATATGGAAGAGTAACAATTCAAGGTGAATAACATTTGTTCCTCGCGTTGTATTTCGATAAAGAGTAGTGTTTATTGAATGTAGCAAGAATGAAAAATGGCAGTATCTATCTATCTATCTATCTATCTATCTATCTATCTATCTATCTATCTTATCTATCTCAGTCCGTTTCTTTCTTTCTTTCTTTCTATCTATCTATTTCCATGTTCCTATCTATCTATTTCTGTCTAACTATCTATTTCTATCTTCCTATGTATTTCTGTTTCTATCTATCTATTTCTGTTTCTATCTATTAATCTATCTATTCTTATGTTCCTATCTGTTTGTGTTTCTTTTTATCTATCTATCTATCTATCTATCTATCTATCTATCTATCTATCTATCTATCTACCTACCTACCTACCTACCTGGGCACCTCGACGTGGTGTAATGGTTAGAAGGTTTGTCTTGCTAGACCAATTACGACTGAGTAGTGAGTTCGATCCTCACTGGGTGCCCCATACTTTCGGCCTTGTGCCACAGCTAAGCCGAGCTTGGAAAATCAGTACGGGGCACCTCGGCCTGGTGCAATGGTTAGCAAGTTTGTCTCGCTAAAACAGTTACGACTGAGTAGTGAGTTCGTTTCTCATTGGGTACCCCATACTTTCGGCCTTGTGCCACATCTCAGCTATGCTTAGAAAATCATTTGGGTACCTCTAGATGGTGTAATGGTTAGCAAGCTTGTATCGCTCAGAACTATTGTGACTGGGTAGTGAGTTCGATCCTCACTTTTACCCCATACTTTCGGCCTTGTGCCACATCTGAGCTACGCTTGGAAAATCACTATCTATCTATCTATTTATATATTCCTATCTATCTATCTATTTCTATGTTCCTATTCTATATATATATATATATATATATATATATATATATATATATATATATATATGTAAAAATGTAAATGGATATAGATCCGACAGAATGAAGAAAAATTTGGAAAAAACAAACAAAAATCATTAAATGCAATTATGTTGTTTTAAAATGAATGAAATGTCGACGTCTGACGTTTCGGTTTAATAAACCTTCTTCAGGACAATATTCATTAAAATACAATTCAGTTCAATTTGACAAAACGACGATGGACATAAACAACAAGTCTTATCCAAAACAGATAACTGAAAATTTTTAAAATAATCAAAATTCCGTTTAAAATGATCAAAAATCGTCACATAGGCGGCGCTTTTGAAAACGTATTCCATGTGACGAATATAAAATTTTTGATTATTTTGAATGAAAAATAAAAAAAAGCTGATCATTTTAAAATTTTCAGTTGTCTGTTTTGGATAAGACTTGTTTTTATGTCCATCGTCTTTGTCAAATTGAACTGAATTGTATTTTAATGAATATTGTCTTGAAAAAGGTTTATTAAACCGAAACGTCAGACGTCGACATTTCATTCATTTTAAACAACATAATTGCATTTAATGATTTTTGTTTGTTTTTTCCAAATTTTTCTTCATATATATATATATATATATATATCCATCTCTTTGTTCAGGGTGTTCCAAAAGTTACACAACAATTGGCAGAAAAATAAAGTAAAATAGCAACCAGGGGAAATTTTCATGACATCATCTTCTATAATTCAACCAATGAAATTTCTTAATATATCGTCACATACAGAATCATGACTCCATTTGGTAAATAAATATAACATTTATAAGGTTATCAACGGCAATACGTCTTTTGGAACATCCTTTATTATGCTTTTTGACTCTAGTGTCATCTATCATGTTATGGTTTCTAAGCCACATTCAAACTGAATCGCTTCAGTCCCTTAGACCCAAAAGAAGTCCTATCAAATTTATGACTAGTAGATTTGTCACATTTTTAACTTCAAAACGATTTCTTTTGTACATAACAGAAAACCTTTTTTTCAGCCTCCGCAGAACTTACAGTATTAATTATATTTTAGCTTTTATATATCGGCTATTAATATATAAGATTATTTTCGGATGATCCAACAACCGATTCGCTAAGCTTTTATAATTTCAAGAATTAGTTTGCGCAAACCGTTAGGATATCACCACTGCTTGTAGGAAAACGGCTGATATTACCATTATCATTACCACTGTAGACACGGGTCTAAAACTGATCAATGTTTACCTATAAAGTCGTGTATACACCTGACCAATCTTTACATACAAATTCGGGTATTAAAAAGAAACTGATTATGACATTAAATGAGCCAAGAAGTGTTGCTATGTAAAATCAACTAGCGCTTTGACAATGCGTATCGGTCTTAAGATCAATGTATATTTTTATTAATGGGCATTCTTTTTTTCCAGTGTCTGAAAATATTTCATTTTGTCAGAAAACAAGAAAGGGCTGAATGGCTTCCAGAATAACAAGTAAATTTGGCCACATCTATGAGTACAAAACATGACTCAGATATTTATTCTCGCTTTATTGGTCGACCGGACGATATTATTTAAATAGCATATTAGTCAAATAAACTGCTTTCACGCCTGCTTGCTTGTCGACCAGCTAACCGGAACTTCATCAAGTTGAATATTTTTTTTACCAGTGGTTAGAGTATTGGGCCAGAAAATGCGAGGCTTTCAGTGATCCTTTCATTAAAAACAAAATTAGCTAAAGATGATTAATTACTTAAATGTCAGAATCTAAAATATGATAAATATTGTCTAAGAATTGTTATCACATTTTACCTTAATATACACTGAGCGAAGTGAGTGACATGTGTCAAGAAGTACAGCTACATTCTCTTAGCAAGTAAAGAATATCAGAATCAAAGGTTATAAACAAGTACTTCACTTTGGTCCATCGTAAAATGCACAGATAATATGTGATACTATGGACACCCAGATAGAATGGGAAGGGGTAGATTTTATCCTGATCTAAAGTATTCTTGTTTGTTAGAACAGCCGATGAGTTCTTTTGTATTTCGGCTTTCGTAACGGAATCCAATTTAACCAAAGGGTAATGGGAAGTAAAGATGTGTGTTTTAATTTTGGCTAATCCTCGTCGCCAAAATGTTGTAACTTAGGGAAGGTTACTGAATAGAATAATCAAACAAAGGTTTGTAATGAACGATAATACTTAGGACAAGAACACATGACTACTACTTCTACTACTCGGCAGTTGACTACTTCTACGCGTCAGCGGCGCGTAGAAGAAGTAGTCAACTGCTAGAAGTGAGTCAAATGAACTGCAGGATATCTAACCGCCCCAAGAGGTCAGATGTGGCATAAGGTCGAATTTAATGTGGGGTATCCAAGCTCATAGGCTAGGCCCAAAATTCGCCGCAGACCCCGTATAAAAACGTCTGGGGATCTTCTCTGTTCAGAGACAGACAGTTTGACCAACACAATAGGAAACAAATCTCCAACTGTAGGATATCTACCAACCGCCCCAAGAGGTCAGATGTGACACAAGGCCGAATTTAACATGAGGTACCCAAGCCCGTAGACTCAGCCAAAATTCCCCGTAGACCCCGTATAAAATGGTTTCGGAAAGCTGTTTCCCGATACGAGACTCTACCCTTCGGCATAGTCTCGTCTGGGGGTTCTGTCTGCCCTGGGGAAGATAGTTTGACCAGCACAGCTGGAGGCGAATCTCCAAACTGAAGGATATTTACCAAGCGCTCCACGCGGTCAGATGTGGCACAAGGCCGAATTTAATATGGGGTATCCGAGCTCTTAAGCTCAGCCAAAAATTCTCTGTAGACCCCGTATAAAATGGGTTCGAGTAGCTGCTTCCCGATGGGAGACTCTGCCTTTCGACATAGCCTCGTCTGGGGATCCTCTCTTGTTGAAACTTGACTAATGCATGGAATAATAATGCAACACAAAATGTACTTAGAACAAAATGTATTGAAACAAGAAAGTGTACACAATATTTACATATAGTCTTTTGTATATTCCTGGTAAGACCGTTTCCTGGAGAATGTGTTGACTGAGTCGCAGTCGGGCAGAGTCTCTGGTTGAATTTCTTGATTCCTCCTCTCTTCCCGGTACCAACCATATTTATATGGTCGGTACTCCACTATGCAAATTAGGTGGATCCTACCACAACATCTCTACCCGGAGGCAGAGAGTTTTGACCAGCACAACTAGAGACGAATCTCTAACTGCAGGATATCTACTAAGCGCCCACGTGGTCAGATGTTACACAAGGCCGAATTTAAGGCCGAATCTCCAACTGCAGACCAACATACAGTATTTACTACTGTATTTATGTGAACGGGACATACCCATTATCGTCCGTAGGTATGCTACAACAGTAATATTGCAAACAGTGTTCGCTTTCTTATTTCACGACGTGGAGTTTTTGCTTTTGTTTTCCACTGTTATGTTGTGGGTGGGTACCGAGTTCTTCTCCAGGTTTCAGCGAATGCCAACGAGATCGACAATTCGAGCACAGCGTAGGGTGATCATTGGCCGGTCGGTGGAAAACTTAGGCAGGGTTCGCGTTGTATGTTTACAAACACCCTATTCGTGAGCACTTGACCTAGTAGTTAGAACCATGAGACCCGGGTTCGATTTTCACCATGGTCGATTTGTCAGGAAGGTGATTTTCTCGATGTTATCGGCAATGAGGGTGGGTGATTCCAGCGTATGGTACCTTTGGAAAGTGCCTGAAAACGCAAACCTTGTGAGTGAAACTGAATAGACGATACTATTTGGGAGCCGTCGATGCTTGTTGTGCGAGCACGAAGTCACAAGTCATCGTGACCGAAGGATTGAGCGTACTGGCTTTGTTCAGACTGTTGATCACGTCAGATAATTCGCTCTCTCCCAGAAACTGTAACTAAGGTCCGCTCAGCATAGCTGTAGTATAAACCTACGTCGAAGTTCCTAAATGATTTTGTTTCAGGTGTGATACGAGGCCGAAAGTGTAGAACACCCAGTGAGCATTGAATTCATTCTACTATTTGATCTAATGAGACAAGCTTGTTAGCCATTACACCAGGTAGTAAAGGAAAGCGTGAAGCAGCGAACCAACTACATAACAAGTAAATGAATGAAAGAACGTGGAGTAGGAGGGATGGTAAAAAGACAAATATTACGATAAGTCATAAATGATAGGAACTTGTGGAGAGCCTTGATTGTCTACGTCTTTAATTGGATACGGCACCTAGAAAAATAATTTTGCTTACTGGACTTTCATTGTAGCGATAAATAAACTTAAACTGGTGTGTGTCTGTGTCTGTGTGTCTGTGTGTATCTGTATCTCTGTGTTGTCATATATGTGTTGTTTTTTAAATAGACTGGCCCCCTGGAAAAAATAGTGGAACTTTTTCCGCGGTATAAGCTTTCTATATAATAATAATAATAATAATAATAATAATAATAGAGACTACAAACAAAAAAAATGCCTCCTTATTGATATGGCAGTCCCTGCAGACTGCAATGTATCTTTGAAGATCTTCAAAAAGCTATCAAAATACAAGGACCGTGAAATAGAAATCTCAAAAAATGTGGCACATGGGAACGTCAACAATCTCTGTTGTAGTTGGAGCCCTCAGATTGGTTGGAAAAGATTCCAGTAGACTAATTGAAGGGATTCCTGGAAGTCCATGCTTTAAAGAAATACAAAAAATTGTTCTCACGAGTACAGCCCAAACCTTACGAAGGGCTATATCTATGTATTTTTTTTTTTTGTGTGTGTCAGTGGAAAATGTCATGATGCCATATCTAACCTTAGGTCTCTGAGTGGGACCCGGGAAGAAATGTGTACACACCAGAAATCAAAGGAACTAAAAATAATAATAACAACAATACGCACTGAGAACAGTCAAAGCTTTGTATATTAGCAACATGATAATAATAATCTTGTATAAATGAATTGTATATTAGTATAATAATAATAATAACAACAACAACAACACACACACAGAGAGAACAATCGCCCAGACATCGTGATCAAAGACTACATGAACAGAATAGCAGTCCCTGCAGACTGCAATGTATCTTTGAAGATCTTCAAAAAATTATCAAAATACAAGGATCTTGAAGTGGAAATCTCAAACACGTGACACAATATTTTCAGTTGTAGTTGGAGCCATTTCTAACCTTAGGTCTCTGGTTGGGTCCCGGAAAGGAAATGTATGTACAACAGAAATTAAAGAAAATAATAATAATAGTAATAATAATAAACAAAATAAAATGCACAGATACTACACTAATCTTAGGCCAGTCCTAGACAGAGATACCAATCTCTATGTAAATTATCTATTCATTTTTTACAGGTACTATTCTAACATTGATAACAACGATACTAACCATGAAGGAATAAGTAATGGGGTGTTTTTTTGTTTTTTTTGTTTTTTTTTGTTGTTGTTGTTTTAAAAAATGTCTTACGAGAGCAAGTAATTCATATTTGAGGCAAAATATACCAAAATAAATTTAACCAGCTTTGAATTCGCAGCAACAATCCAATCCTCTGAGGAGACAGTCATCTAAAAAAAAGGTATACATATATATGTGTGTGTGTGTGTGTGTGTGTGTGTGTGTGTGTGTGTGTGTGTGTGTAAAAAATAAGAGCATTATGTTTTAGCGTTTTCTATTTTTTTCTGTTTATGAATAGAATCATCCAAGCCGATCTGGATGTATTGCAATCCATGTTTTGTTTTATTTTATTTCCATATTAACTTTCCGAAAATTATATGCACAGAATAAAGATTTTACAAAAAGGAAGAAAACGTTGAAGTGAAGAGCCCAGCAGTCACAGTGACGACGACGACGAAAAAAATAAACAACAACAAAAAGAGAGAGAATTGGGATCAGATCGTTTCCGAGGAGGAGGGAGAGGAGGAGGAAAAGAAGCAAGAGATTGGAAGAGAGAGGATGTTGAGAAGACGAGTCGGTGGGGGAGAAAGGAAGATTTGTCCGGAGAGTAAAGACAAGAAAAGAAAGAAACAAACAAACAAACAAAAGAAAGAAAGAGAGATAAAGAGCGAAAAAAGAAAGCGAAAGAAAGAGAGAAACAACCAAACAAAGAGCAAAAGAATCAAAGAAAGAAAATGCGAAAGAAAGAAAGAAAAAGAGAGAAAGAGCGAAAGAAAGAAACAAACAAACAAAGAGCGAAAGAAAGAAAGAAAAAAACAAAGAGCATAAGAAAATGCGAAAGAAAGAAAGTGCGAAAAAAAGAAACAAACAAACAAAAAGAAAAAGAGAGAAAGAGCGAAAGAAAGAAAGAAAGAAAGAAAGAAAGAAAAAGCGAAAGAATGAAAGAGCGAAAGAAACAAACAAAGAGAGAAAGAAAGAACGAAAAAAAGAAAGTGCAAAAGAAAGAAACAAAGAGCGTGAGAAAGAGCGAAAGAAAGAAAGAAAGAAAGAAAGAAAGAAAGAAAGTGAGAAGCAGAAAGAAATCAAAACATCGAGGAAAGAGGCGGAGTGGTAGGAAGTAAACACGGATCACCCAGAGGAGCAAGAAAGATGACGATATCGATGAGGGCGAAAAGTAAAACGAAAGAAAAAGAAAAGAAAATTGTTTGAAAAATGTACGTATTTTACTGAGTCATTCGTTTAGCGGCTGAGTAACATGGAATTCTGCGAGTTTTACCGTTTTTCCTTTTCTTTAACTTTCTCGCTTTTATTAATTTATTCTTTAATGCACTGCCGGTGCAAGAGTCTCGTGCACCACCACCCCGAATCTATGATACGATGCCCGACATTCTACTACATCTCAATTTTCATAAGGTAGTATTCATATAAATTTTTATTGTAGCCTAATTATGCACAATAATAAATACTATGTAATATTGGCGAACAATTTCGAACTAGAAAAATTGAAAATAAATACAATTTATTTAAAATACAAGTAAGAGACATGTCATAATAGATCATTTTATCTCAAATAAATCAACAATGCTTTACGGCAATGATGTCAAAATCCGCGAAAAGACTTAGTATGCGTAAAACAAATCCACGGATTTGAAAAAAAAAAAAAAAAAAAAAAGACCCCAGAATGACGTCAAATACTGCGAAAATTGTTCATTCTTTAATAATAGTTTTGTACTTAATTTAATTTGTAACGTGTATAAATGTAAGTAGAAAAAAAAGCAAATGTTGATAGCGAGTGTCCCAAATCACTGCCCGGAGTCCCCAATCAGGCTAGGCCTCCGGGTTGGGGGTTCCGGAGTAGTACACACCGAATGATAGACTCTCTTCAGAACGAATACTATCTCTATCTCGCGTATATATATAGATAGATAGATAGATAGATAGATAGATAGATAGATAGATAGATAGATATACAAATACAT